ATGGGTTGGCTCCTCACAGTCCCAGACACTGATATCTAAAATAAACTTTATCTGTGGCTTTTCTGTATTATTGTAAACAATACAGAAATAATAACTATTCTCTATTATTCTAAAGGTGTCAAAGTGTGACTTTAACTCCTACAAAGTTAGAATTGGCATTATTTTTCAGTTAAAGGTCTGACTCACAAACAAGAATTCTCCAGTCTAAGGGAATTCTTGCTATCTCCCTGGTAGAGAGTGATACAAGGAATAGGAGAAGTGGTGACTTGTGAAGGGGAAAGGCCAAGTTCACTCTGGCCTGCCCACTTGCTGGTCCAGGTTAGGGGCTGCTTCCTGCCCAGGGATACTGATGGAGCTGTCAGGGAGGTGAGAACAGAGTGAGGGGTGTGGGACACAGGTGTGTAGAAAATCAGATTTTTCAGTTTTTTCGGTGAACCTGCTGCTGAATTCTTTAAAACTGGTAACATCACCCCCCTTCTTCCTGAATTAAGAAGGCAAATAATCAAGAGTCTTACTTGTTATACAAAACAATATCTGGCTTCCAGATCTGGCCAGATGGTACTCGGATGAATTCTGCCCCTCCATAGTCTGCTGGATTCCACCGGAGCTTGTAATCATTCCAGATCTAATTATGGAAGAGATGAGGCTGTTAGGTTTGGGAAGAAACTGAAACTCAATGGACTAGACCTAAGGCAAGTGTTATCATATCACTTCTAGGGTTGTTTTCTTTTGGATACTACAGTGTTTAGATATTTCTTTAACAAACACATATGTATGGTGTTCACATGCAGATTGTAGGTGGGCCTAGTTATCTAGACCTTGATGGTCATATCAAGACATGACTTATATGGAATGTGCTGCCCAGGGAGGTGGTGGATTCACCAACCCTGGAGGTTTTCAAGATGAGACTGGATGTGGCACTTCGTCCCATGGTCTAGTAACAACAGTAGGATTGGACTTGATCTTGGAGGTCTCTTCCAACCTGGTTGATCCCATGATTCTATAATTCTATATATGTGTAACTGAGTCCCAGGAATCTCTACTCAGTAGCTGAAACAAGGTGAAAAAAGGAAAAAGAAACTCTCTTGTTAGAGAGTGTAGAACTTTAATAATACCTGACTTTTTGAGAACAAAGTTATCTGTGAGATGGTGAAAATAAATCCCTGGAGTCTGTGGTGCTAGGGGTGAGCACGGAGTGAGGGACCCTGGGTGGATGGGTCAGAAAGAGCTGCAGGTGTCACTGCTCAGCTAAGTAACAGCCTTGGTCATTAGGGCCTGTTAAACCCCACTTTTACAAAGCTGTGTATCAGACTGAAGGTGAGAATCAAGTTGGTTATTAAGCTGACTGCAACAGTGAGTAATTGCATTTCTGACACATAAAGACCCTTTTCAAGTGAACACTTTTGGTTAATTCCCCCCTTTCTGGGAGCTAATCACCACCAAGTGATGCTGTGCAGGACCTCCTTGATGAGTTGCTTCCTCGTGGTCTACCAAAGCAGCATGTTTGGGAGCCTCCAGAGCAAAAGTATTGCATTTAACAACTGCAGAAGTGCAGCAGGGCTGGGGCTGTGGCTGACGACTCACACACAGCCTGAGTTTATCACGTCTGGATTTAAACACTGTAACGGCCAGAGCAGGTGAGATAGACAAGTGGAGAGGTTTGGGGCGATGGGGTTGATTCTGGGCGGGAGGATAACGAAGAGGGGGCTGAGACAGGGACCGGGGGGAGAGGGACCG